TGCAGGAAAGGAGTGTTAGACAGATTGCCAAATTGACGATCGTGACTAAAAATGTTACTTGCTAAGCTGTCTTGTTGATGGAATAACATCGATTCATTATCGTTATGTGATAGATGTTCTTGTAGTGGTATTATGATATTAGTAAATTGAATTTTGGATTTCGATTTGAGGGGAGGAGAGAGCCGACCACATATAACTTCCTTTCAGTGATTTCATTTTGGTCACCGAGTTCCAAGCATTAAAAGATGCAAAGTCGTCACGTCACTCTTGGAATTGAAAAAAAACTTCAATTTAAAACAACTTTTGAAGTAGTATGTTTCGGAATTAATTAGCTTAGAAGGAGATGATATCTAAACGGCAGTTTTCTTTCAAGATCTTCGTCTAAGGCGCATTAGTTATGAGAGGACCTTTTCAAGCTATAGGGATGGAAAACATGTACGTATGCTTTGCTGTTTATCTCACGGAAGTAAAATGTTCAATAATATCACAAGCTTCACAGAGCCTTTTTAATAAATGGCTTCATTTCTCCTCTCATTCTTTCGTAGCTCTTTTTTTTTACTTGTTCCAGTAAAATATAAGAAAGAGGCAGCTCTAGCCATCGATTGATACTCTTTGTTGCGTAGTTCCTGTGGTTTTCCTTCATTTTTTTCAACTTTGACTTTTTTTGTTGTAAATTTAATTTTCATTCTTCTCAAGAAACTAAAAGATGATTAAAAAATAGCATGGCTTTACTTTGTTACAAATAGCAAACATTAATATGTATGGATCTGTTTCTGTCACGTACGCTAAAAGTGCAACATGCTGGAACCTTCCACTCTTATTTCACTCCACGTACGTCATTGTGTCATACCCTCCTAACTTTTTCTGGTTATACATTCCTCAGCTATCAAACAGTGGGCATATATAATCTATACTGATAATGGTATAAGTTATGTAATCCATACTGATAATGCTTATCAACTTGGCGATAAAATCGGTGCCATCTTGAAATTTTTTCAATTTCACGGATTTCATCTCTAAGTTGATCAACTTTATCAGTAGAGAAATTATAAATATGTTTAGATATTGTTTTTTCCTTCTTTTTTTTATATCTTACTAACTAATAAAAAATTTCTTTTTCGCTGCAGAAAAGTTTAAAGAAAACTGTGAAATGAATTTTTTCTTTAAATGATTTTTTCTAACCTGACTATGTCTTCAGCAGAACTTCCAGGGAGAATTACCACAAAACATTTGCACCCATAGACACAATTACATACCGTTACTCAAATGTTACCAGTTCAGTGAAATCATTTTTTGAGGACGATAATATCCAAATCTGCCAGCAAAAATTACTGATCTTATATTTCTTTGTATTTGTTAAAATTTTTCACAAACGTTTTGGTGTTTGCTCTATCTTATGTTCGAATAATTGTGAATTTCAAAGTGCTTGTAGAAGTGGTACGATCGTGACGTGCGTGGTAGTTCATCAGTCTGACAAGCCAAAACAACCCTTAAATGGGGGCTGCTCTGTATCTGAGCGGAAATATCTGCTGTTGCTGCTACTGCTATTTCATGTTAACCAGCATCAATATTACATAATTTAAGTGAAGGTTATCATTTTCCTATCAACGTTCATTTAAGAACAATAATATTTCTTTAATAAATAGCAAGTAGCACAGCTGACAAGATCTTTTCAGAACAACACTGAAATATAGTCGCTTTAGTTAAAAATTTATATTGTTTTGTCAATGTTTGTCAAATGCAATCATACTAATTTGATGTCTTAACAAGTGAATGAAAATTTAAAGTTCATAAATTTACGGTAAACTGTCTCGATTATTTTATGTTTGGGAAATTTTTTAATATAAAATGAATTCAAGAACTGGCCAGTAGTGGCAGTGGGATGCTGCTCTATTACTTGGCTGCCATCTTCAAAGGGCTCCATCCACGAGTTGATGATGATTTTGTTGATAAGCTCAATTACCATTATACCTCTGCCATTATTTTTGCATTCGCAATTATCGTTTCTGCAAAACAGTATGTTGGTAAGTTCCTCTTTTTCACTTAACAAATCATGCATTCTTGATATGATATTTACTATTCATTATTTGGAATCTGTTTATTTAAAAATAAAAAATAAAAACAAAGAAAAAGTAAGTGAAAATAAGACTAAAATTTTGATGTTTGGATATAATGAAATTCTCGGCTCTTTCAATGTACCACAAAGGTGCAAAACATTTACTGTTCACTCAGTCATATATCATGGAAAATGTCCATTTGAAATATCTCTTTTCGATTTTTTAGTAGGAAGGAAAACTTCCAGACAATGTCACATTAGGTTATTGTAATGATATGTTATTGATTAAACAAGCTCATGCGAGTAAGATGAAACCTATAGCTTAGAAACGCTAGACAAGATGATTCTAAAGGCTAAAATATCAATTAAATTGACGATTCTTATTTGCTACTGGGCAGCGCTGCAAAACCAAGTTGTCAGACAAATAGGTATGGACAAGTGTGAAGGATAGAAGCAAGGGAAGTTTTTTGGCTTAAAAGTTTGCACCACAAATCTTATTGCTTTTTGAAGCATCAATCAACAATGCTTTACAAAAGTTGACTTTTTCTCTCGCATATTTACCTCACTTTAATTGAAGAAGCTCGATTGTACTTCACAATTTTTTGAACTGCCTTTCTCCTCTTCTCTACTCCCTTATATCTTCCATCTCCAGGAGGTTTAACAGTGCAAAAAATGATTGAAGAAAATTCAAGATCATAAATCGTTGG